GACTCGGAGGCAGCCGCTGACGCCGGGGTTTGCGCTGCCTTGCAGAGAAACGTGAAGCGCAACGGGAGCAGGAGCTGTTTGAACAGGAGCCGGTTTGGTTCCCGGGAGAGGGACTGGCTGAAGGCGGACGCCGGGCGAGGCTGCGTCTATGTTTATGGAAGAGATTCTGCAGCTGCTGCGTCTTCAGACTTGCGCTTGGTCCTCTGCACGGTGGACACCCCGGCGTCTGAGATATGCGATGGAGAAGGGAGGAAGAACCTCTTTTTGCAACTTCACGGAGACCTGGTGAGGTGAGGGCTGAGAAAGGATAAATCTGCCTGCGAAGCACTTGCTGCGGTCTCGCGGGGCCCCCTTCGCTCTGTGCCCACCGACGGTAGCAGGGCAGGTGTGAAACGGACCGGGGCGGTAGGCAGCAGCCGGATACCGCCTCGAGTAACGCCGTTCATCCCAATGAAGTAGTGGTGCGCCTTTTACGCATCTCTTAGTTAAGCCATAGGTGTGTTGGCTGGGAGGATTCGGCTGGTGCTCCAACCAGAAACGTGTCCTCGTTTTGTAGGTAGAGGCTGCTGTTCCCGTACTCCTTTATTACGTTCTCTGTTACGGACGTTTTAGCGTCCAGAAAACTTAAGCCATTTAAGAAGCTGTAAACAGTTATTCTGAGTCAGTGAAACATGTAAGGTACTGTCACGGTTATGTCACGTAATATTTATGTGTTAGTAATTTTTTTGCTAAGAAGAGCTGCCAGGTTAATAATTAAAGGTAGACAGAAAGATAGTGTAGTAAGGGTTATATAAAGAAGGTTGAAGTATCAGATTATACATTTTATGCCTGCCGTCGATTTAGGCTGAAAATAGACAGCTCAGGGTTTAATGTGCATGAACTTTATGCTGTGGATGTATTATGGACTGCTCGAGGTTTACAAGCTGCCATTAGGTTTGTTAGGATTTAGACTTTGCTTTGATTCTTCTGGACTTAAGACTCAGTTATGAAGTTGCCACTCCTGTTATCAGGGGGAAAAAAAATTGCTGGGGACTCCTTGCTTGAAGGCTAAGCAGTAGAGACAACGCACGCTGAACAGGACTCGTAGCTGGTTTTTTGATAGTGAAACGAAAGTCATAAGTTGCATGTGTCCGAATTTTAAAAACGTGGCATGTGTTTGATCAGGGAGAGGGAGGGAGTGCTCGTGGCAAGAGATGCAGAGAATAGGATGTGGTTAAAACTGGCTGTTGAAAAAAGTTGTTTAGACCTGTTTGCCTTGCCCAGCCTGGGTTATCGGAGCCAGGGACAGGTTAGTTAGAAATACTGTATGAGGATCGATGGACACTCGGATGAATCGAGGCAGCTGAAAATCTCCATTCGTTGCTTGAAGAATTTATAAGGCGATTGGCTTGGTTTGGACCCTAACAGTGTGCAGGTTTCCCAGCATTTAGAAAGAAGAGCAGACCCTTTACTGCAGATCCTGAAAAAGACTAGGTAAAGCTTGTGGACGTGTTCAGAGAGGAACGTTTTGAATTTTTTTTTAGCTCTTGAAATGGCTTTTGTGTTTGAATTCTTTTAAATATCTGTCTCTCTTCTCGTGCTAGGTAGCCGTGCCTGTCTCTGATTTGTGGCAGGCTTTGTGCTGGATTAGCAAATTGGTCCTGCTACCAGTGTTTTGGAAGCCAGTACTGAGTTGTAAACGTTTACTTCCCGCTCTTGTTGCCTCTTGGTGCCTCTGGCACTTTGTCAAGCTTTGTCTTAGATTTCAGAGGGGATCTTGATTGATTACAGCGTGTCTGTTCCTTGTAACTCAGAATGTATTTGCCACAGAAGAGATCCCCGAATGACTTCCCACGGGGGTGCTCTCAGCAGAGGCGTGGGAGTTACCAGTATTGCTTCAGCACTGCCTGTCCGTGACGGGAAGCAGGCCTGAGCGGTACCTGCTTGCTTGTCCCCAGGAAGGTGACAGAACGCGCAAGATACCCCCGTGCCCTGTTGAGGTAATTCCTCCCTTGAACAAAGGTTGCTGATGACTTTAATATGATGCGTTTGCGAATACAAATTACTCTGTTCAGCATCTGATCACGTTTTGCCATAGGTACATTTGTCTCCCAAACAACTTCTGAATTCTTCACCCTTTTAATATCAGTAGGTGACTTTCTTTCAGAAGCTGGGTATGGCAAAGATTGATTTGGCACCTGACTCGGAACACTGAAAACTGGACAGTAAATGGAAGAATAACAGAAACCTTTTTTGTGTGTTTGCTTTAAATATTCAGTGGTGTCCTTGTGATCATTCTGCATTTCCCTTTCAAGTCCGTGTACCGGGGAGTCAGTTTCTGTCAGAGCTTTCTTTTCTTCTCCGCAGTGTACCTCAAGGATCTTTAGAGGAGTTCTAGCTAGAAACCTTTCTTATGTTAGCATCCTTTCATATTCAGGAATTATACCTTCTTGCAGAGCGGGGAGGATTAGACAAAAATAGCACGGATACCTTCTTTGGTGTGGACACCCCTCACAACAAAAATTTGAACTACAGAGATCTGAAAACTTGACTGTTGCTTACGAAGAAGAGCCACAGTTGCAGCAGGAGTTGTGGAACTGTTGCTGCTTTTTGCTGGCTTTTCTGTTTCCTTACCCTTTGCACCTTCACTTAACAGAGCTGCTTCTCTGACTACTGGAAGCGTCCAGTACCTGGTACGTGCTACTGATGTGGATATAATGGGCTGTTTGTGTCAAACAGCAGCAGCTGTGACAGCCAGGGTGTTCTCCATGTGCGCTAGCATTCAGTGTGTATTGCACTGGCTACAAGATGAATTTCTACATTTCTAATGTGATCGCATGCCAGTTTGGGTTTCACACTGCATTGCTTTCTCTCAAAGGGAAAGCATATTTTTCTACCTCAAGCTTTAACTATTGCCTCTGGAACCTGTCAGCCTTGATCGTGTTAGTAAAGAAATCCCATATAGAAACTGCTGTTCCAGGTACTGGTTTTGGCTTTCCCTTTCCTGCCCTGTGCTAGATTTTGTTAGTGAATCACATGGCTCTCGACAAGAACTTGGACCAGTGATCCCTTCAGCCAGGTCTCCAGAACGTCTCCAAAGGCATTCGGTGAATTGCTCCCTTCCCTGGTTTGAATATGGTCTGCTAACGAGCTGGTTTGTTCGTGGCTTTATTTACAACGCCTGGTGCTGAACCCGTGAGTGGTGTTAGCTGACCGCCTGGACCTGCGCTGGTGTTTCCTGGGCCACAGACCCAGCGTACGGCTCGTGCCAGAAGAGTAGCTCGGACGCGGGCTGGGAGTCGCACACCCTTCCCACTGGGTCTTCACACTTGCAATGTGTAACACCAAGCCATGCCTCACCGGCAGAGTGGTCAGTCATTGCTGCCTCCGTACATGTGGCTTTTTAGGTGTAGATTTTTCTGTCAACTCAGACTCTTTTGCCAGGTAGTGAACTTGGAACAACTTCTGGCATTTTGCAGACAACTTGAAGAATTCAGAAGGCTTAACTTTTGGCAAGGCTTTTGTCTTCCAGCTGGTGGCAAGCAAGCCTAGATGGTGCAATAGTAGAGACTACTCTCTTGGTTGGTTTTCAGATAAGAAGGTACTATGGCAAGAGAGACACATTTGTTAGGGGATTAGGCTTGAATAGATATTACTGCCAATGTTCCTGTTGTACATGGCTTTTTTAGAAAAGAAACAAAACTGAGGGCATTGTGTTTGATACCTGCAAGAAGCATATCAGTTTGATTTATGTGAACGAGAAAGAAAATTAAGGGGTTTTCAAATTAGTATTTTGAAACCCTGCAGTAGTAATTCTTGCTGAAGTGAAAGATGAGAAGAATGAAAATAATTTAAAAAATTAGATCTCATCTCCAGAAGAGGCAAGTACGGTGGGATAGAGTATCCAGCTTTTTCAGGAGGGTAAACCACAGTACTGTACCTCAGAGAGTATTGAGCAACCTGTCAAACTCTGGTTTAATTTGTGTCATATGAAAAGTGCTTATCCCTTTACTGTATTAAGGTTCTTCCTGAATTCTGATGCGCAAGAAGTAATTGTTCAGTGCGTACTGGGAAAACCAAATTGTAATGTTTGAACGTTTGGGGTTTTTTTTCCCCAGGAAATCTAGATGCAGACTACTTGAAGTGTTCTTTTTGTGAGTGACATTCAAACGTTTATGGCTCCTGAGCCATGGGTCACATACTGGAAAAGCTGTTTTCTGGCAAGCATAAGGCTTTAATAGCAGACGGATCGGAATCTAGGGGTAGTCAAAAGAAACTTGGGCAAGGTGTTTTGAGATCCAGTCAAATCTCTCATATTCTTCTTGGATTCTGCACTGAAGGGTGTAGAATACATCAGGGTTTACTGCGTTGGAAGTCAGCATTGTTCAGTGCAATCTATTATTTATTCCAGTTTCTAGTAGCTTGCCTGTTATAGGAGATGGATACGCAGGTTTGTCATTTCCAAGATTACCTCAGAAAGCTCTTTTGAAAGTTTGGTGTCATGTTCAGTGCGACCTGTAGCAAAAAAAAAAAAGGAAGTGATAATGTGAACCTCGGTTCCAGATTTATAGAAGTCCTTGGCTCTAAGCTTCTAGATCTCGACAGAAGGTCCTAAAAAAGACTGAGAGCCTGCATTTGAACTGAAGAAGTCTCTGCAAAGAGAGAAGCATTGATGGCATTATGCTCTTGAACCAACCTCTTGTCCCATGTCCATCTTGCAAAGCAGGGAAAGAAAAAGCATTTTATAAATCAGCTTTTCATGCTGACTGTACAGGGAGCTCTATCTTAGCTGGACTAGGATCTTTTTCCAGGAGTTCCAAGAAGATGAGCAGTGTCGGAGTGATTGGTGGTGGTGCAGGTTATCAGCACAGTTTGAATTTCCGTTCTCGACTGCTGTTTTCTTTTTTTTCTTTTTTGTTTGTTTGTTTTGGAAGCTATTTTCCATTTTATTTTGGAAAACATGGGATCTGGTCCTTGCTTATAGGCTCTCCAAATTATTTCAGAAGACTTCTCATCTCATTGAAGATATAAAGTGGATGGCATCATCAAGAGTGAAGTCATCCCAATTACAGAGGCAAGTTACACTTTTTGTGGTACTGAGTCAAACTTGGATTCTGCTTCTAAGACACATGAAATGGTACCAGGTAACTTCCATGTGGTCTTGACGTTAAAATTTGATGCAACTAAACCTGGACAGGTAGAGAGGAACTTCATGAAGTTCAACAAAGTGAAAAGCCAAGTCCTGCACCTGGGGAGGAACAACCGCAGGCATTAGTATACACTGGGGGCTGACTAGCTGGAAAGCAGCTTTGTGGAGAAGGAGCTGGGCATCCTGGTGAGCAACAAGCTGCCCATGAGCCAGCAGTGTGCCCTTGCGGTAAAGGCGGCCAGCAGCAACCTGGGCTGCATTAGGAGGAGTGTTGCCAGCGGGTCCAGGGAGGTGATCCCTCCCCTCTGCTGGCACCGGCGAGGCCGCACCGGGAGTGCTGTGTTCAGTTCTGGGAGTACAAGAGAGACAAGGACTCACTGGAACAGGTCCAGGAAAGAACCACTACGATGTTTAAGAGACTTGAGGCATTTTTCGTCTGAGAGAGCTGGGACTGTTCAGCCTAGAGAAGAGAAGGCTTGGGAATCTTATCAATGTGTATAAATACCTGATGGAAAAAGATGAAGATGATGGAGCCAGACGTTTTTCAGTGGTGCCCAGTGACTGGACCAGAGGCGATGGGGACAAACGGAAACACAGGGGGTTCCCTCTGAACATCAGGAAACCCTTTTTCACTGTGCGGGTGACGGAGCACTGGCCCAGGTTGCCCAGGGAGGTTGTGGAGTCTCCTTTGAGATATTGAAAACCAAACGGGACGAGGTCCTGGACAACCAGCTGTAGGTGGTTGATGATCACTCCAGAGGCTTGTTCCAACCACATTGAATCGGTGATAAAAAAGATTAAAAAAAAAAAAAACTTTACAAATCTGATTTCTCTTTTACTAGTGTTAATGGATGGACTGACTTTGGAAAAAAGCATGTATTTAAAGTCTTAAATACTTGCATTACTGTTTTGTATGATTTAACGCCGTACTTGCCATGGAGATTAAACTCGCTTTCTAGTCAGTGTAACGGGATAGAAATATCTGTACTGCATTGGTGGCAAGTTGAACAGTAGTAATCATCTGAGCTCAGTGATTTGGCGTTACGTGGATTCTGAGCATTTGCTAAATTTGTTGTGTAAAGTTTATGTGAATTTGGCTTTCACAAATTTTTTTTCTTCAAAAAAGGCATTACAAATAATTGGGAACATGGCAGAAACTATCTCTCTGTCATGCATGTGTGTCATAGCATCTGATTTGGATACCAGAAGAGAATAGTTAGGCCTGGGGAGGGCGGGAAGGAGAGGGATTGTGCTTTCTGCTGAAATTTATCTGAATTTGCATTAAACTACACTGGCTAGCTCTTTATTTCCTTTTGTTTACTGGTTTAAAGAAGGGGTGGAAAGAAAAGGCAGTTTTCCAAATGTTTTTTCTATTTAAAAAAAGCATCACCACAAAAAAACGCAACAAACCAGCAGTAGCAGCAGCAGCAATGGCATGCATTGCTGACAGTCACCTGATTACATCTTGAACTTTAAATTGATGCATGGATATTATTCTCCTGTATGACCTTTGAGGATACTTACAGTACATATCAAATTGCTATTTCTGATGTTGCTTTTAGTCATATTGGAAGCTTCACAAAATTAGGATAACTCCTAAAAATCAACTAAAAGTTATGACTGGTGACGGACATTGGTATGAATAAACAATGCTTTCTACTGGTTAAGGCAGCTGATATTTCATAAACTAAAATTTAAATCCTACTAGTCTAATCCAGGAAGGAATAAGAACAGATTTCCAAGCAAACCAGCTCTATCAGGGTGTGATCCTTTGGGCGGATTTGAAGATACAGGTCAAGGTTTTCCTCCTTTATCTGTTAAATAAAGCCTGTTTATGGGTTGAAATTTGCCAATAACTTTCTGATTATATTTAGGGCTGACTAGAGTCTGCAAGGCCGACATCAGTTTATTAGTCAGTAGAAACTCCAAGAGACAATTTCTGAGGTGAGAGGAAGGGGGTTATTTCATATACAGCCTTCTGGCTAGCAAGTTGATGTATTTCCATGTTAAACAAAAGGGAGGGGAGCAAAGTTGCCCTAATCAGGCTTAGCAAACGTGGAGTGGTAAGAACTGGTTTTCTGGATCAGCTGCGTATCAACTACATTGTCTTTTCGGGCTAGAAACTTTGTTGTTTTGGGCCATAACTTTGAGAGTAATCCTGTTTCTGATCCAGAGGTCCTATGTGTGAAGTGAAAGAGTTGCAGCGTACATGCTCGAAATACCTAAGGTCATTTTACTTCTTGAGGTGTGTCCTGTTGACTACAAAGGAAGTCTGGATGACTAGGTACTTGTAAATGGTGCATGATTTGTGAAATCAGTCCTGCCTTAATTATGAGATGGCATTTGTAAAGCTGTCAGTAATAGTGGAACTACTATAGTATAATCATCAAAAAGAATCAGAAATATTTTTGTTCTTCAGTTGAGAAGAAGCAGAAAGGTTTGGTAAATACAGTAATAAAATATTTCACGTTAAGACATGCAGTATAAATGATGTATGCGAGTCAACAAAGTTTAGTAGAAAACAGGTCTTACCGAACAAACTTGATCTTGATGCTTTGAAATGTCGAGCTTGGTCGCCAAAGGCATTAGTAATTTCTTGCAGTGTGTGATGTTGGATGGGGCTCTGAGCAACCTGATCTGGTTGAAGATGTCCCTGCTCGTTGCAGGAGAGTTGGGCTAGATGGCCTTTAAAGGTCCCTTCCAACCCAAACCATTCTGTGATTCTACGTTCTGACGTCGTCGGTAGAAAAGCAACGCGCAAACCAGTAAAACTCATTGGCTGATAACTTACAGAAGCATTTTTTTTGGATGAGGGGTTAGTGCATGTCTGAATGAAGAAAGGTAAATTTGCACTGTTCAGTTGCTCTGTTAATAATCTGCGGCTAAAAGAAAGGTAACAACGCGGGAAGGCATAGATGGAGGGAGTGATGAGTACTGAGAGGTCAGTGCAACAGGTTGATCTAGATAGTTTAGCATGCAGTATTCTCTGGAAAACACTGCTTCTCAATATCGTTGAATATATTTATGTAAAACCCAAGTGTACTAAGTACTAAGGAGGAGAGGAAGGAGGCTATAACTTGCAAAAAGTGCAATTCAGGAGGATTCGTGGATCGAAGGGATATGAGTGAATGTGCCAAATAGTCGAGAGCAGGTTTGATCTAGGAGTATAAATACTGTTGAGTAGAACCAAGAAGTCTCTGTATGTTTTTTTTTTGTAGTCAGTGCACAGATTCAGCAAATAGTTGTGGTGCTAGCGCTTACAGCATGTTGATAAGCTAAAAAAAAAAAAGTGGTAAAAATGATTTTGAGTCAAAGTAGACCCACCCTACTGCAAGAAAATTTTAAAAGCACATTGAGCCTCATCTTGAAAAGGAAGTTTGAAATGGTTAGTCTCATGATTTATAAACACCTGTTTAAAGAACAGGCAGCAAGTTGAGGTCCAGTGACCGTAATCTGAAGCTAGGCACTTTTAGATTAAAAATGAGGATTTTTAATGGTGGATAATGAGTGGACCAGTGGAACAATTTATTTTAACTCCCATCTTACGTTTTCAGTGCTTAATCTTTTAAACTAAGGGTTTGTTTGTTTGTTTGTTTTTCCTAAAGTAAAACGTCTAATTTAGCAAGAAACTCTGTTATTTTTATTGCAGAAAATAACAACTCAGTGTCTCTGGAAGAAGTGAGATGAGAGGATCAGAAAACATCTGTTCTGAATATACTAAACCTGATGTTTCTTTCTTTTGTAACTTTCTCTTATTGCTGTTTATTCAAGTTTATTATTATTTTATTATTCATTTATTCTCTTATTGCCATTTTTTCAAGTTAGCCACTGAATCTTTCCTATGATTTGTTGTAGTTCTAAAAACGTCTTTTCTTTAAATGTACTGTTTGAGTTAATTTGCCAAAGCATGAGAATCTTGCACTGATGAGAGCCAAACAGAATGGGAAATTTCTTTTTTCGTTCTTTTTAGAAGTCATTTTTCAGGAGGATTCTCATACGCTTTGCTCCCAGCTGCATTTGGAAGAGAAATTTAAGTAGAGTTCTTTTATATCTTTCAGTCATTATACGTAGGTTTTTTTAATTCTTTGGTGTCTGCTTTTTGTGCAGTATTTCTGGTTTTGTGTCTTGTCATTGTTTCCTCCTGATGCTCCTTAAATCACGGAATGGAAAAGATCACCGTGGATTGTATGGCTTATGCCTATTGCTTTTCCTCTCCGTTTCCTTTCTGCAATGTAATTCTCCAAGTGCTACAGTTCTTAAGTGCTGCTTGACAAGCAGGAGGCACAGACCCCAGGGATGCGTGCTTGCCAGGCCTTTTCAGAGGAGCAGAACAACCAGTATGTCAGTATTCCTTACGCTTTAGCTGCAATGAGGCTTGTTTAATCTTTTTTTGCTTTCTCAAACTTTCTTGTATGTTTTGACAGGAGGCTGGAGCCCACAGAAAAACCCCTTCAGATTGTGTATGACTACTTGGCTGGGTTGGGTTTTGATGATCCTGTCAGAATGCAGGAAGAGGCAGCAAACTCTGATCTCAGCTGCATGATTCGCTTTTACAGTGGTAAGAAATGTGTGTGTGCAGACTGTTGCTGTTCCTATAGCTTTAACTATGAGGTGGAACTCAGCTGAAGCCCAACTCGTTGACCTATTGGGTTTATAGATGGCTCAATCAAACACCCAAAGTACCAGTAAACATTTCTTAAAATAATGAGTTTTCAAGATAAATAGGAAAAAACCCCACGATTCTGTAGTTCTCTTGATCCTATCTATGGCTTGAGAAAAGATAGCTTCACAGGAAGACAAAAGATTGCTCTGTTGTCTTTAGTTTCCAATGTTACAGCAAATGCTTTAGAACTCCTAATGGGATCAGAAACATAGTGCAGTTCAGCCTAGATATGGCTGAAGATTGTATTTCTAAAAGGTGTATGGATATGGGCAAGGAAGGTCCTGGTCAAATATCTCCACAGCCTGTAAATAGAGAGTGAAAGTGCCAGCTGGTTATTAATAATGCAGGCTGCCATTGGAAACCCAGTGCATTTCATTGCAGAAGTGAGACTTCTGAGTGGCCTAGTGCACCAGTTTGGGCAGGATACCACGTGCATAAGGAGCAGCAGAATGCTAGTCGTAGGCCCGTTGGCGCACGGTGCTAGCAGTCAGCAAAGGAATTCACTGAAGTGAAGAGGAAATGCAGAAGAAATAAGGGGGAGGAAAGCTGATAATGAAATTGTTACATTACTGCTAAATACTTCACCTGAGTATTTTTTGCATTTAATAAAAAAATTAAAGTGCTTTTAATGGAAAATTGTTCTTGCGTAGTGGAGCTGGGTAGTCTGACTAAGCTGCTAGCCATCATTTGTTTATTCAATGTCAAAAAATAGAATCATAAGAATTCAGCTTCTCCACCCCTTTATGTGAGACAAACCTCTTCTGTCTGGGAGCTGTGTGCAGAACAGGCAAAACAGTGTAGAAGTATAATGGAGATGAAAAGAAGTATGACATGCGTACAGTCTGACTTATGGGGCAAGGAGTAGGGAGTCAGAAGTTACTTCAGCTGGAAGGAGGAGAGGCATCAAGCATAGGGCTGTACAGAACTTTTGAGGAAAAAATGAGCAATTCAGCTTGGGTATGTCAAGCAGGAACTGCTGAGGATTCAGGAACAGTGACTCAATTTCATGGAGGCAAGTAGGTAGAAAATGGAATTGAGTAGCTTTAGTCAGCGTGGGAGCGTAGTCCTGCTTAGAAAGAGGCTGTGAAGGAAGAAGTATGAGGATTGAAGAGTGTTTGGGAGACCTATTTTAAGAAAGTAAAAGCAAATGCTGACAAAGTGGTTCTTAAAGGTAGGGGAGGAATTAGAGGGAATGCTATGGAGGATTATGTGATAATTTTGCAAAGCCTGCAGCTGAGAACATAAGGGACAAAGTAATGCATTTTAGCCAGAGAAACATTACTTAGAATCATAGAATCACAGAATGGTTTGCGTTGGAAGGGGCCTTTAACGATCACCTAGTCCAACCTCCCTGCCATGGGCAGAGACACCTTCCACTAGACCAGGTTGCTCAAAGCCCCGTCCAGCCTGGCCTTGAACACTTCCAGGGATGGGGCATCCACAGCTTCTCTGGGCAACCTGTGCCAGTGCCTCACCACACTCACAGTGAAGAGTTTCTTCCTTCTATCTAGTTTAAATCTGCCCTCTTTCAGTTTAAAGCCATTTGCCCCTTGTCCTGTCACTGCAGGCCTTGTAAAAAGTCTCTCTGTTCCTTTCTTAGAAGCCCCCTTTATATATTGAAAGGCCGCAAGGAGGTCTTCCCGCCCGAAGCCTTCTCTTCTCCAGGCTGAACAACCCCAGCTCTCTCTCAGCCTGTCCTCATAGGAGAGGTGCTCCAGGCACCTGACCATTTCCATGGCCCTCCTCTGGACCCGCTGGAGTGCTGAGAGCAGCCTTCATAATTCTTTCACTTCTTGGGGATGTCTCTTGGATTTCTCTGCTCTCTTCCCACATTCTGTCTGCCTTTCTCCTGTGATACATTGGGTCTGTTTCTTTCCCTGGCGCGTAGTTGTAGCAGGTTGTAGCGAGGCAGGGGTCGGTCTCTTCTCCTGAGTAACAAGTTGCACCAGGGGAGGTTTAGGTTGGACATTAGGAAAAACTTCTTCCCTGAAAGGGCTGTCAGGCCCTGGCCCAGGCTGCCCAGGGCAGGGGCTGAGTCCCCATCCCTGGAGGGATTTAAAAGACAGGTAGATGTAGTGCTTAGGGACATGGTTTAGTGGTGGACTTGGCAGTGCTGGTTAACAGTTGGACTTGATGATCTTAAAGGTCTTTTCCAACTTAAAGGATTCTATGATTCTATGATAGTGAGGACTTATGCCCAGTTGGGGTGATAGAAATACAAGTGGATTAATAGAAATCCCACATTAAATAGCAGTGAGAGGGAAGCATGCTTCCTGAAGTCTGGCTGTTGAGGTACTTGTAGGAGCTCAAGAGTTTTATGAGGGGAGAGGATGTGTTAGATTGTCTGGGAGACTGGGGAGAGGGCTTCCTCTCAATGGAAGTCACTTGGAGAATGGAGGCCAGTGACCCAGGCTGGATGGGGCAAGCTCAGAGACCAAATGTTACGGGGTCTTTACGTGCTTCAACAACAGATCAAGTGGAAGAACCTCTCCAGGGCCATCAAACTGTTCATCTTTGTCAGCTGTGACAGGCGTGAATTGTAGAGGGTAACACACTTTCTCTGGTGGGGAATTGTCTTGATCCCTTGTATTGCTATAGCTGGACTTGTGTAACTTGTAGGGTGCTGTTAGAGGTGGTAGCTCTGTCTATTGGTGACCTGTGTCCTCGCTCTCCATGGGAAAGCCTCTGCTCGCTCATTGGAGCATGGAGTTAAGCATGATCACAGTGACGTTCAAGGCTAAGCTCAGGAGCTGCAAAGAGTGACAGGAACTTGCCTGTCCCTAGAGGTTAAGACCATTCTTACACATAGCTTGAGGAGTTGTGAAATAGCTGGGATTCAGAGTAGAAGTCCTTGAGCGTTGCCCCTGGATGTTTCCTTAGCGCTAGGACGTGGGTGTCTCGGATGTTTCAGAGAGGATGGGGAAACTGGAGGATTGGTATAGCTTCTTTGTAGTATCTGGTGCTTGGAACAGTGCTGCTGTGGCAGTCAGAAGGGTACTGCTTTTGGTCCCGTTGTATTCTTTTCTTACAAGTCTGGGGCTGGTCTTTCAGCTTGGTGAAATCCAAGCAATTTTTTCTGTGGATGATTAGAGTTTTTCACCATTAAAGGACATCTTATGCCAAACTTCATGTCCCTGAAACAAAGCTACTGTTGTAAATAAACAAACAGCTAAATATTTCAGCTAAATTCAGCCTGGTATAGACATCAAGACAATGCTTTAAATTTGGCAAGCTGAAGACCCTGCTTTCTAACTGAGAAACAGTATAACAACTTTAGTCAGTGGTTAACTTTTTGCTCTTAATAAAAGTTTGGAGTATGGTTTCTGTCTGGAAGTGGGGCATGCATAACCAAGAGTGAGAATATTTTTCCAGCGGATCTAACTAGAGTTTTTGTCATTGTCTGGCATATATGTCGGCTACTCAGTTCCTCTGTCTGACGTCGGGCAGCGGGTGGGGGGAATATAAATACCTGCAGGTTCATGCTGCTTATGGATATCAGGACGCTTGCAGGACAGTTAAAGACAGAAGCAGCATCTCAGTAGCAACTTCCAAAAAAAATTGATCCTTTCCTAAGTAAAACAAAGGACCTGTTGCCAGGACCTGTCTTAGGGATTACTTAGGATAAAATGAAATATAAATTTAATATGAGGAGATTCTTAACACTTGAAACTCGTAAGTCCGTCAGGTCAAGGTTATTCCTGTTCTTTAAAGTATTCAATTAAGTGACTATTTGGAAAATTTTCCTAGCCAGTAAGATAGTATAAACAGTGGACAGAACCTTGAAAAGCATCTGGGAGATTCATCATCATCTTCAGAAAAAAAATAATAAAAGGGGCAAGGAGGTAGGATGACCTAAAAGTAAATGTGTGTGCATTAGAAGGCTGAAGTAGAATTCTACTTAGCTGGTTAGAGTCACGGCTAGCAGTGCACACAGCCAGGTATAACCGTCAGTGCTCGAGTCCTTTCACTTGAATCATCTTCAGGGAAATAACTTCCTTCCGTACCTGATTTTCCAGGCCTTCCTTTAAAGCTCAGTAGAAGCCATTTATTTGATGGTTCCTGTGACTTTAGCTGACTCAACAAGAGTTTGAAATTGCTTTTCTATTGCACCTGAATGAAGGATGTTTGGCAAGTGTGTAAGTTTGCTAAGGTCTGTAATTACCTGTAGATTAAAAATACGCTACGTGGCAGCCATTGTAACATGCTGGAAGGCATACAGTGGTTGCTTATCTGAGATTACTGCACAAACTGAGGAAGTTGCTTGTCCTCTGCTTGAGATTTTTTTTAAAGTGCAACTTGTCTTGTCTTTACTTGTTCTTTACAATAACTGATTTTGCATGTTACAGCTGTGTTGCTATTTGCACTCACAGCTGAGAATGAAGAACAAATGGCAAATAAATGCTAATGTCCCCTTTTTCTTCAGAAAAGCCATGTCAAGTGGAACAGTTAGATCGCATCCTGCTCTCTGGAGTGTATAACGTACGCAAAGGAAAGACCCAGTTGCACAAGTGGGCAGAGCGCTTGGTAATTCTCTGTGGTACGTGCCTCATTGTGTCCTCTGTGAAAGACAGCCACACAGGGAAGATGCACATCCTGCCTCTCGTTGGAGGGAAGGTAAGACTTCTAGCTTCCTGTGGCTTAGAAAGGAAGAAGGGATTATAATGATGGGTATTATCCACAAGAGGTTAATCTAGGCTTTTGTAACAAAATACTGCATTAACATGTGCAGAGTTGTACAGCCCCTTTCTACTTGCTTTGCTTAGGTAGTAGTCTTAAGGCTAATAAAACAAAGAGACACTAGTTCTGCTTCCACGTTAGTAGCCAATGTTGTGAATGGGCATTCTGGAAATTATTACTTCTTGGATCTACTTCAGCAGAAAAATGTTAAGCATTTGGCCTTTCAGTACTTCAAGGGGACTCACAAGAAAGATGGGGACAAACTTTTTAGTAGGGCCTGTTGCAATAGGACAAGGGGTAATGGTTTTAAACTAAAAAAGGGTAGATTTAGACTAGATAAAAGGAAGAAATTTTTTACAATGAGGGCGGTGAAACACACACACAGGTTGCCCAGAGGCGGTGGGTGCAGAAAAATGTTAAGCATTTGGCCTTTCAGTACTTCAAGGGGACTCACAAGAAAGATGGGGACAAACTTTTTAGTAGGGCCTGTTGCAATAGGACAAGGGGTAATGGTTTTAAACTAAAAAAGGGTAGATTTAGACTAGATAAAAGGAAGAAATTTTTTTTAATAAGAGGGGGGAGACACACACACAGGTTGCCCAGAGAGGCGGTGGATGCCCCACCCCTGGAAACATTCAAGGCCAGGTTGGATGGGGCTCTGAGCAACCTGATCTGGCTGAAGATGTCCCTGCTCATGGCAGGGGGTTGGACTAGGTGGCCTTTAAAGGTCCCTTCCATCCCAAACTATGCTATGATTTACTTCTGTATTTCTCTCCAATAACTTTACAACTATGTTTTCAGCAAAATGTAATGTTACTGATAGTCGGTAATACCTCACCCTAGACTTCAGATCCTTTGTAATTGCTGGAGTTCAGGCAGATTGTTTTGTTTCCAATTCTCCCTTTGCAGGTGGAAGAGATGAAACGTCGGCAGTACACGCTTGCTTTCACATCTGCTGGAGCACAAGCTCAAACATACCATGTTTCCTTTGAAACGCTGGCGGAGTGCCAGCGGTGGCACCGACAGGCATCCACGGTGAGGCCCTGGAGGCTGCAGTAGTTCGGGTGGTGGGTACGGGGTAAGAAGGGTTTTCTGATGCAGGCTCGGTATGCAGGCAGAGGTGACGCCATGATGCTGAAGAAAGTACCTGGGACACTTTCCAGCTTTCTTCATTTCTTACATGCTCAGGACTACAGAGATTTTCTTTTAGCCTTCTCTTCTCTCTGTGCCTGTGCAATAATGTTGAATAGTAGTTCTGCATGTTTTCACCCCCGCGGCAGCTATTGAAAGTAGCTAATTACAGGTCACTAGTCACTGTTACAGCCATAGAAACCTATAAATTGCACCTGTTGCCATACGTGAATCTGCCTGAACTGTGACCTGGGCTGGCATGGGGCTACCCTGATAGGTTTGAGTTAACACAGAGATCATAGGTTAGCAAGGGAAGTGTAGTTTGTTCAGAGCTGCTTTCTTATTCCACGTTGAAGTAAAACTGCATGGCGATAGCTTAATGCTGAGCCACACTTTGACCTCATATATATATATATATATATAAAATACTGTGAAATATGAAATGAGTTCAGGATAAAGCAGGTCATAAAATCTGGAATGAAGCACCAAAGACCTCGAAACAAAGCATACCTAATGAAAGGAGATCTGACTTTATGAAATGTTACAAAACCATAATTTATGAAGCCTTTTCATCATAACAGGTTATGTTTCCAATATTGTACCCTGAACAAGCTAACAAAAGGAAGTTGGAAGAAGTAGCTAGGCAGAGGTTCTGTAAACCTTAAAGGCCTGAACTGGAAAGTCAACTGCTTCCTGTTGCTGCTTGCATCTGTGGAAGGCACTCAGATTATGCTTTCTCAGCAGAGTTTCCTCTGCCAAAGATATGGTTTTCTCTATTAAGTTCGCTCTCTTATGGTCTAGCTTTTAGGCAGCGCCTGTTGCACATACAGAGCAGGGCTTTCTGTGTGTCCTAGTTGGTATCCAGATATGCATCCTTGTCAGGGGGCTTGCAGAAACAATAGTAGCAAATGGCATAAATTCATATTCCGTGGACTCAGTTTCCTGCATGGACTCTACCTGGTGGGTACAAGGCGGTTCTTTCATGTTCTTGCAGATTGTTTACTGCTTGCATTCGTTGGCCTTCCATTAGACTTCCAGAGAAAAAATTGTTGCACAGCTGCAGCTCTTCCTCCTTCTTTTCAGGTTGTGTCTATGCGACTTAGCATGGTTGATCTTTCATGCTACAGCCTTGAGGAAGTACCGGAGCACCTCTTCTACAGTCAAGACATCATCTACCTCAACCTACGACACAATTTTATGAGATCAAGTGGAGCAGGGAGTCTTGACTCTCTTTGCAGGTCTGCAAAGAATTATTTTTTTCTGCATTTGGAGTTCTTGACATGTGCATCCAGGGATGAAGAGGAGGGGGAGTGCATTGCCCATTCTTGTGTGGTGGTAAAAAGATTGATCTTCAGGAAGCTTTAACAAATGAGGGGGCTAGGAGGCAGAACTGAACAGCTCAGGCAGGCATAAGCTTCCAACAATTTACAGTATTCATTAACTCCCTTCTGCAGATTCTTTGTGCTAAGTTTGATCTGAGATGAGCCTTGTGGGGCAATATGAGGCTGCTTGCTAAACAGAGAACATTTTGGGGTATAAAATAAAAGGTGAGGGAAAGCATAATGCTGCTGTTGTGGGTACGTGTTTGTAGGAAGAAGTGCAGATCTGAAAGAGCCTGTTTTGGTAAGTTCTTAATGTTCATGTGCACTCGGAGTTGGCAGAGGGCCTGTGAGACTCCAGCTTTGCTTTGGGAACTTGTCATGATGTGCTTTTAAGAGAGTAGCAGTTGTGTCATGGTATGAAAGCATGACGTAGTCATCTTAGGTAAGCGAAGGAGTCTTACAAAAATATTTTCAAATTAATTCCTGAAGACCATAAAGATCTAGAGGAAGATTAGTCTGTTGATATCTACTCTAGCCATGCTAAAAAGAATTCAAGGAGTCGCTCTATGAATTTCAAAAGCCATTAGGAAGCCTGTAGTAATATTGTCAAATGTCTCTGTGTTTGGAACACATTGTGCCTTAAGAAAAATGCATTTGGAGAAACTTTGCAGAAGTGCAGGTTTTTTGTTTGGGTTGGGTTTTTTTGTTGTACTTTTGTTTTGTTTATCTCTAGGGACCTATTACCAGGTTATTTCATTTTTATTCCTACAGAGTAATGAGATACCTAGGTATCCATGAGGGTATACAGGGAAAAAAAAATTCTCATCTGTGGGAATTCTTTGCAGTTTCATTGAGAGCCAGATTGTAGTCTGGTTTTGTTTTAATTCCAAACTTGTTTAAATGTTTTCTGACTGCTGAATTGTAATAGATTCTGTTACTGGAAAAGCTACTTAAAATAATTCAAGATTTTGCTTTCTACTTCTCTCTTCAAATACATTGTATGATGTTGAAAACCGTATCAGAACTTTATTTTCTAAAATGCGGTATCCTTGGTTCACAGGATCACCAAAAGGGCTTGAAATTTCTTTTGACCTTGCATGTAATCAACAAGAGATCTGACATGTCAGAAACTCGACTCTTTTCCTGGCAGTCACTATGTCTGATGAAGCTGAAATCCTCAAACAAACAAAAGCCATAAAAGAAGCCCTCACTTCACACAATCTTGAATAAACAGGTAGCATTAGGTAGCCCACATAAGGCTGCTCGTTGCCTTTTGAAAAGATTTTCTTTCTCAGGTTTTTAGGATGTTTATCAGGTCACAGCCCCGAATGAAGAAACTTGCTCCCTTGCAGTAGGTATTATCAGTGCCTAGAGACTGACAGTTCCGAACACCAGAATTTTTTGCAACGATCAGATCTCTTCCTCTGAGGAAATCTTTGAAGCTCTAGGAGTCTAATTAGCTATAACTATAATAATGGAACAAAAATAATTAACTAAAAGGGAAATGTTAAGCAAAGGAAATTAAATAACCCCACCTGTTTTGTTACATCTCCTAGCTTATTTTTTATGTAACGTACTGCGTTTCAAGTATCTCCCTTTTCTGGAAAACATTATCCAGTCTGATCTTCGTTGATCAGTGTGTGCGTGCACACACATATGTATACATACGCGTGTCTGTTATCGCCACTCTAGCTAGTTGATACAGAGTTGTACTGCGATGCTTTGGCAGCAGAGCAGGATGTTGCGTTAAATTGGGAATATTTCAGGCCGGCACCGGTTTGGGCTGCTGAACAGAGGATGGTCATCCCATTGAGGATTTGCTGCTGTGTTTCCATACCTCTTTGCTGTAATCTCAATATGCCCTGTGAGAGCACAGACCAAAACTTGAGGAGCCGTAATGATTTCAAGATCCTTATTCCCTATAATACATGGTTCATGTATACAACTTGAATGAGAGTTGGATTTGCATTCTATTCCTGCATCCCTACTGCTTGAGACTACTGGGGCAAAGGCGAAGGAACGGAAGGGGAACTCAGAAGGCTTTTGAGTATTGTCCTCCCCATTGCGTACGACAGTCTGCTTGAGGAGTCTCAGACCAAGCTGTGTCATGTACCAGTTTCCCTCCCGCTTTTGGAAACTTTTATGCCCCTTTTGTGTTTGCTTTGATATTGCTGCAGAGGGATGAATTCTAAAAATTGGTTATGCTGCTGCGTTTAATGCCGTGCCTCTCGGGGCAGCTTCTCACCGCACTCTGCTAATGACAGAGAAAGAGCTGCTTGGTGTTAAGGTCAGGTGCCATAGAAAAAGCCATTATAGAACTCCAGAGAAAGCAGTTTCATTAAAGAGTTTTCTGATTCCAAAACCTGAGAACTGTGATCTGTCCTAAATCTCTTAAAGTTGAACCAGTTAATGAGAAAGTTCAGATCTGCAGGTTTATCCTCATCGTTTCCTTCTTTTCCATTATTGTTGTGAAGTTCTGTGTGCAAGTTTCTGATTTTTGTATCATTGTTAGATCTTTGCATCATACAATATGTTCCCTTTAGGAAGGCTGTCACCAATACAGCATCTTTCTCTTTGGCTTTCAGTTGCATTACAAGAGAGTCTGTTTGTGGCTGCAGCAAACATAAAATGCCTATGCCCCTATTTATATGCCAGGGTGCTTTCTCAAAGCAAACAACCCATGTCCAAGTTTCAGGTATGCTTCCTCTTTAAAAAAAAAAAAACACCACCACCACCCCCAAAGCTTGTAAAGCAAAATGGAGAAATATAATTCATAGTTCCTACACAGATCATTCCAAGTATTCTGAATCTGAAAAAGAAGTCGCTATAAAGAAGAAAAAATTTCAAAACCTTTCAGTCTTGTACCTCAAGACATCTCAAGCTAGTGGAAACATTCTCCCTCAAGCTAATTAACTTTGGGTTTGTTACCTATATTAAAACATTTGCTTCAAAATAGGAGCTACTCGCCATTGTCTAGCAAAAAGTACGGTAGGTGGAGCAGATGAATGAACTGTATGTTTCCAAGAAATACTTCTCCAGTACGTTACATCAGATTGGCAATTGTCTCATAAAAGCATGATATTCATTTCCCCACTGCATTAATTTCTGATGGTTCCAGTTTGGGATGGGGAGGTTATTATTTGGGGAAAAAATACTTTTGTTTCCTGTAGAAAGAGGTAAGAACTCTTTGAGAAGAACCTGTTGCGTATTACCCCAGCCCGTGCTCCATTTCTTCTCTCTGTTTGGACCTAGCCCAGTGACAGAAGGAGCTGGAGTAGGCAACCATCTATTAAGCACAGGTGGGACCGTAGTGACTGTGAGGGCTGCGTCGGTACTTCCATGACTGTGCTTACGGTACACTCTGCCGTGCAAGTGGCACTTCAGACATGGAGTCTCTTCCAAGGACCTCTGGGTGCAGCTCTTGGGGCTTCCCAGCGTGAAGTCAGCGCTTTCCTGGTTTTCCCTTTTACAGCTCTGCTCGGCCTTCTGTTGTGCCTAGCTTGAAAAGGGTATTCCCCTCTTCTGTTTTATTCTCAGGATAGTTCAGTTAATGTTTTCAGCTCCTGTTTTCCGAAGCAGCATAATTGTAAACTGTTACTCTAAATAATTCTTTGAAGGTAAATTTTTTTAACTGAGTATTTTTAGTCTCCTTAATCTTAGTAACAGTCACTAGGAGGAAGCCTGTCAGAGATCAGGGTAGAAGGTTGTTGCCAGTTTCTGCAGTAAAACCATGCTATTTGATCACTTTCAGCATTACCACTGAGATACAAAGTATCGGTGACTTAAAACCAAATTTGTGCAGAAACTCCCATAATGAGTGAGCTGACTTTGCACCAGTGTGCAAAGACTTAAAAATTCTTTATGACTGGTGTTGTGTGTTCTTGCTTTGAGACCGTGGAGGTCTGTGAATTAACTACTATTCTTGCCAATAGGTTTTCTCAGTTGAAGAGCCTGAACCTGTCTCATAATAGACTGGGAGAGTTTCCTGTGTCGCTGTGCGAGATCGCTACTCTGACAGAGCTTAATATTTCCTGTAATGGACTTCGTTACTTGCCAAGCCAGATTGGCAAACTGTTGAAGTGAGTATTCTTTTCATCTGTGGTCATAAACGTCCTCGGTGCTTCGGTTGAGCATGGCTGATGTGAAGGTACTGCACAGGAAAGTTTGAGTGCTGGGGCAGCCTGTTCTGCCCATGAAGGCTGAATGATGGATTTTATTCCAGCAGAAGGTCGAGAACCAAGATGGTCCAATAAGGTTTGTTTTTCCTTGAAAATGAAGATATCGCAGTGGGTTTATACAGTTGCCATTTTAAGTCACTGGTATATAGCAAGTTATCATTCATCATTTGTGACTTCCTGCCTATTCTACTAGCTATGTAAAATGTATTAGTGTAAATCAGTTTTCTAATAGAGAAGATTAATGGATTTTGTCTATTTTGGAGTGGCCTAGGAAGACACTTAACAGTCAGTTCTGATGCCTTGAATCGCAGGCGCCACCTTGCTGAACTAGAGTAAACGTGAAGGCTTCTAAGCCATATGAATGTACTCTCACTTAAAGTTTAATAAACTTGAAGCTTTTTATGGTCTCTGTGGGGTGTGTGTTTTGGGGAGTTGTTTTTTGGTTTGTTTGGTGTTTTTTTTTTTTACTTTGGGGTGACTTGTATGATTTCTTGCGGGTTTATGTCCAATTTTTATATAAATTTGAATGCATCTTGTTCTCTTTGCATATGCTGCCATCTTGCATTCCCTTGCCTGCTTTCTTGTTGTTTCCTTCCTACATTCTCTTCTAAATTTTTTTAAACTACTATTATGGCGGGGCCTTATTGGTTAAACATAAATATTATTATGTTTACATAAAAACAGTTACAAGTTTCTAAATATTATGCTGTCAGGGCCATTTCCAGAAGCTGCAGATTAGTACAGTGAAACACCTACGGAGATCAGCTAGGCTTTGTAGAACTACGGAAAAATATACATGCCTCTCAAATTCTAAGGCCTAGCCTGTGGACCTTACTTATACAAGCAAGAGCGTGCTGGTTATATTGCTGCAGCATTCATAAATGTCTTACACAAAAGGGATTGCAGATTTCTTAACTGCATGCAGTTTTAAAGTATAAGGGTACCTTATAGGGTGAGAGACAGTCTCAGGTGCAATTCCTCAATCACTACTGTTAAAACATTGTAGCTGCTGATGCAGAAAAGATGAGGAAACATGATGCAGTTGAAGCATTGTCTGAAAACAATTGTATTGTTTCTCAAATAAGTTGATGCGCATTTTTCTGCAGTTGCACAGGTGTGTGACTTTATGAATTTCTGTTTATTATTTGTGTTTAATATTTGCAATACTGATGCAGTTTCTATTACAGTTTTAATTTATTGTATAAAACTTTTCTGTGGTAACCTCACAGAGGTATAGTGATTTTTGTCAGCACTAGTATGTTTTGATAGCTTTCTACAGAATTGGTTGCTTTTTATGTTAGAAAGAGGATTTTAACATGGAAATACTCGGGCAATCACCTCTGAAAATTTCGTCTTACATTGTTTGCTGAAGGAAAAGCCTCCTCCATTTTCCCCAGTAGCTACCCAGAATGCAAAAAGCTTAAGCTTAGGTAAAGTTAATTGCAAAACTATTACTGCGTTTGTTTAGATAAGACATTGGTATTGAGCTATTGGTTCATTGTGGCCTGCTCTCCCACCAGCTTATATCTTTAAAAAAGGAGTATCTGCAGCTACATTGGATGTAAGCAAGTCATTTCCAGAGTGATCTTCTAGCCACATGCAAACTGTGAGGAAAAAGCTGAATGCAGGCTTACAGCTTTCAGAGGTTTACAGCTTAGTTACGGGTCCAGTCATCTTCATGACCCCTTGAGCCTTTATTCATAAGAACTTTTTATGGTCCCAGATTGCATTTCTACCACTGCTAAACACTGTTCAGAAAGTTATTTGTTGGAACATAATCATCATGAGGGAATTGTATTTGGGGGATTTGAGTCTCAAAAGCCATGCAAACTTTAAAACAATTCATCTTGCAACAGAAAGCTACCCTATTCTTTTCTGAGTGTCTGAAAGGACAACTAGAATGTAAAAATCTGTTACCAGTGCATTAGGGTGGTAGGAATTGTGATTAAACTGTGCCGTAAGTGCCGTAGATGTGAATAAGTGCCATAATAGTGATAAGAGATTCCAGCGATTGGATGGTGGCACAGTTGATTTTTATTGTTTCTTATGAGACAGGTCTGTACTGTTACTGCTGTCGTTTTTGGTTTTAGTTTGTCATAGGTCTTTTAAAGATTGTCCAGCATACTAAGTGAGGAGTTCTTAATTTGTAGAAAACCAAGTGATTAAGTAAATATCTTTCATTTACAACATAAGTACTGATTTGTATTTTGCTTACGTTAACTTGCAGTCTTTGGCACAACTGGAAGTTTACCTCCATAATAGTTTAGGAACTATTTGGTATTGCATACATGCAGTTCCAAGCCTATTACATGCGTAACAGAAGTACTCCAGTAATTTTATGTGTCTAAGAATAAAATTAGCTGTTAGGTACCTGTAAAAAAACAACCACACTGAGACCAGCTATCTATATGAGGAAGTTCACTGAAAATGCTAAATGCGATGTTCACTACTCTTTGCTGAATTATTTTCTTTCTCTTTTTCACTGCTGCAGTCTCCAGACCTTCTGGCTTGATGGGAATTTCCTCACGTCCTTACCAGAAGAACTGGGAAGCCTGCAACAGCTCAGCTGTCTTGGGCTTTCCTTCAATAACTTCTGTGAACTGCCAGCAATTTGTGAGAAACTCGTCACCCTAGACAAACTAGCCCTGGCAGGGAACTTGCTGGAGACCCTGGACCTTGCAGTGCTG